ACAGTGATCAATCGCTTTTAACGATAAACTTGCAGTAAGATTCATAAATATTTATCTTATATAATAGAGTCCGGGCTGAAGTGTACATCGGCTGGCCCCCGCAAGTCATTGTATAGGCCACATCGCATTCAAACGCCACTACGAATGTACAAATGGAAGTAGAATGCGTGCCGCATCCCAAAAAGGGATTGATCAACGGCAAATGCTTTATCCTTTTTATCCTTTATATAATGGAGTCCAGGTGTGGTCACTGGTGCGGTCACACTCTCTGATGTTTCCTAGTGACATTTGTTTCACCACACACCAGAAGTAAACAACACCAGAAGTTTAAGATATTATTGACTTGAAGCCACATCCCACGATCACAGTATTAGATTATTCCACCTAATAATGAGGTGTGCAAAGTCCAGCTCCAAGGGAGAAAAGCGAAAAGAAACTGTCAGAACCACTAGAATTGAAGGTATCCCTTTCAGCATTGGGCGATTGATTGTGCGACAAAGAGCAACTGAAAGCCGCGACGAGAGAAGTGACGAGAGAGAATGGAGGATTTGCGAAACCCAGACAGCCTGTCGCTTGTACCGTTCGACCGTAAGCAACAGTATGCAGCTGCATGCACCTGAGAAGAACTATTTCAGCACTAGCTACTAGAGCACATAGCTACAGTAAGCTTATAGAGATAGGGATGAAACTTTCGAAACTGTTGTAGTGAAATATCGCTTCTAGGACCAATCGAAAGGTTGAAGCCCACTGAAACGTAGGCGATGCTTTCACATTCTCGAAATCGCCATAGTAAGCCGCAGTGTGCTAAGTATTGTGCTCGAATGTCACCACATTGCCAGACGCAGACCATCTTTGGGTTAGATCATATCTGTCCTCCCTATTAACGAGTATATAAATATAATCTCTCTTTCCCAGGAGTTCGTGGATGGAACCCCAGTTAAACTGCCAATTATTATATTTTTAGAGGAAATATGGGATTTATCTAGGAGGCCACGTGCATTGTTTCCAAGAAGGACAGCTACATGTGGAGGAAGAATTTGCTTCTCGCCGCGACACTTCCATTGCGTATTGAAGTGGAATGCATGGCGCATCGCTCACGACTGATCAACGCCGACCACCACATCTGTTTCTATTTGAAAAAGTAATGAAGATGTATTAATAAGGAATGGGCTATGGAGAGTGGTTCGTTCCGCCTCTACCGGCGAGCGCCCAACGGAAGCGTCCGGTCGTCGTGCGCCGCGTGCGGCTACTCGCGGCGTCGCGACGCGGCAGTTTACGAAGAAAGTGGGTTCTTTGCGTTTGACGATTGGAGCAGTTGGTTGACGTTGAAAACCAAAGGAAGGGGCTACTTGGTGTCCCTGTAACTTTCAAATTCATATGGCGCTCACTGAAATTCGCCCACTGCAGTTGCGACGTCGCGGCCCGAGCAGTAGCGCGGGGATCTGGACGATTCTATTGACATACCCCCCCTGTACCTCAGACAAGCCAGTTACTGCCGTCACACTCTCACCTGTGTTCT